AAACTGTGTATAATGATAATATATATTTTTTTTTAAATAATATTGAATCAATAGAATCATATATGTAGAATCTGTTAGCCTCAAAAGATGAAATTAATTTTGAATGACAATATAAAGATTTCTTTGATTCATTATTTATCTAATTAGATTTAATATTAAAATCAGTTAGCTCTAAATATTGAGATCTGATAATATTTAAAAAATTCATTTTGAATTATGTATAAAAAAATCTATCTGGTCATTAACTAGTTAGATTCAATTTTTAAAAAGCTTCAAAAATCATTTTATTTTTTTTTACATTTTTTTTTTAATAATAAAATAAACTCTTCTAATTATAAGAATAATATTTATTATATAAAAAGACAAACATTATAAGTATAAGTAATAAGACCACTACTAAAATTAAACAAAGGTAAATTAAATATCCATAATATAGATTTTCAAAGTATAAAATATTATAAAATAAAAATAAAAATAATTTTAAACAATAATTAAATCATTTTCAAATCTAATAAAACATCTTGTAATATGATAAACATGTGTTATAAACATAATATTTATATATTCCATTCAAATGCTTAAATATGCTAGGAATAAGTTCTTCTCTAGCTGGACAAAGAATAGTCTGGCAATTATAATTTTGATTAAACACATAGTTACTCTTAACACAATACTCATCTGATATACAACAGTTACAACAAGTCTTTTCAAAATATGGCCATACCCTTGATTGTAATAAATGAAAATTATTATCAATCAATATAGTTTTATAATCAAATTCATCAACTGATATATTCAACTTAAAGTACAAATAATTAGAACAAAAATAGATTTCATCATTCTTAAATCTAATGTAAAAAGAAAACATAGAAGGAGGTTCATATGTAAAAGAATCTTTTTTAACTAAATAGTACTTTACTCCATGTTCACAATAAATATCTTTGCAAAGTTTATTTTAAAGAATACAATTGTTCTTGAGTTAGTAGTAACATTTATCAGTTATAAAAATAACTTAAGGAAGAATAAACTTAAATATTTGTAAAAGGATTTTTTTAGGAACATAAATTATAGTGAATATTACACACAAAAAAATCTACCTGGTCACAATAACTAGATAGAATATTTATTTAATAATAATAATAAAAATAATAAATATATTAATAAAATAAATTAATTCTCCTTTATAAAATAAATGCTACATTGTTCCTTAATAATTAAATTCTAAATATCGAAAACACATGTTTCATCTCAATTTGAGTAATCTCTGAACTTGAAATATTAAATAAATTTTTTTTAACAGGAACTTGAGAAATTTTATTTGAAACTTGAGCAACTTTAGGGATTTGATGAGTTAAAAAAGAAATTGCTTGATGATAAGATAAATCTTATAATATTGAGTTTTAAGATGAGCTTATATAGTGCAAATTAAAAAATTATTAAAAAATTCTGAGCAATGTTTACATTTAATTTTTTCAGAATCGTAAATATGATAATGGTCTGTTATAGCCTTCTTTTCTTAATTCATATTTGAATTATATACAAAAAAATCTATCTGGTCATATAAACTAGATAGTTAAGTATATTGTAAGCTTTTTTCTTATCTAATTTTACATCTTTGCTATTAAGATACCATCTAGCAACTGATTTAATTACTCTAACATAACCTAAATTAGCAGCTTTCTTATAATAAAAAAATGCTTTGCTCTTATCAATATTAACAACATTATTCTTATTATGAGAATAATAGCATTCAAGTTTAAACAACCTATAAACATATTCTAAATCTGCAGATCTTTAATAATACTCAAATGCTTAGTAAACATCTTTACCAACTTCAACACTATAATAATAACTATTATTTGTATAAAATGTTTTTTTAGACAATTCTAAATCTGAAGATTCTTTAAGATAGTGAACTGCTTTAGCAAGATCTGGTTTTATACTAAGAAATTCAAATCTATAATAATAAACAACAATAAATAATATCTTAATATTTTTTAAATTTGCTAATTTTTTATAATACTTGAATGCTCTACTATCTTTTTTAATCTGATATATTTTCACAATGATGAATAATGCTTTTGAGTTGCCTTAATTCCTTTAATATAAAGAAACAATTTCACAAGGATCTTGTTTCTCTAAAAATTGTAAAGAATTTTTTGGTTCAAAAAAATATGATAAATATAAATTATTAATTATATCAGATATGTTTAAATATGAAAAAATCTATCTGGTTAATAAACTAGATAGAATAAATAAAAATAAAATACATAAATAAAATAAAATAATAAATTATTTGTTCTCAATAATAATAATGTCTAAAATAACATTTAAATAAATTATTATATCTATATATTCTAAAAGAGCATCTTTTGATGAATTTAATACTTTTAGTTTAATTTTGACAATTTTATCAATATTTTCTAGAAAATTTTTATGTAAAGAAGTTGACCTTGAATCAAAACTTTAGTATGTAAATCAATTCATTCATTAATCAAGATTCTTTTAGAAGCATCTAGTTCTTTATCATAGTTTATACTTAATAAAACAGTTTAATTAATCAAGTTAAAAAGTATCTTCTTTCTTTAATTATTATCAAGAATTTCTTTAATTTTAACATTATTTATATCTATTTTGGAATTTATATATTTAAAAATCTACTTGGTCAATAAATAACTAAGTAGATAAAATATAATAAAATAATGTCTGAAAAAATTATCATATGATTCGAGATAATAATTCTTAATGCAAAATAAAAATTTAAGACAATCTTTATAAATACAGTCTCATTTTCAAATATGATATGTTCAGGATATATCAAATTAATATTAGTTTGATAAAAATCATAAAGTTCTTGTAAATATTAAACTTCTGCTTTTTTCACTTTTTTGCTTTCTTTCTTTTTTATGATCAATTATTGTGTTAATAAAAGGATTTATATAAGCAACCTTGTAAAAATCGATTGTTCAATCACATCGACTTTCTTATCTACATATGCTTTTCACACTTTTTATTAATAAAATTGTTGAATACTTTTATATTCTTGTAAGTATGATCATCTATGATGTAATCAAAATTTAAACTTTTAATATATAATAGTCTCTTTTCATAAAAGTTCAATATTATACTTTGAAAAAAGAAAAAATTTTTATTTTTATTCTGATAGAACAAATCAAGTTCCTCTTTGAGTTCAATAGAAGCTTCAATATATTGAAATACAGTATATTCAGATTGTTTCAAAAAAATCTCACATAATTTGGCATATGTAGTTTTTTCTGCTTTGATGATTCCTGTAAATACAATAACCTTTCTCTTTCTTTTAAATGTTAAACATTCGATTAAAATATATATTATAATCAAAAAAACAAAAGTTATAACAACTTTGATTGAAATAGATTAAATAATTTTTTATACATAAAAAAATCTATTCAGTATTAAACTAAATAAATAATAAGATTTATTTAAAAATATATTCTAAACTATAAAACATTATCTGAGCATCCAATAACAATTCTTAGTAATTAACTCATACACCTTCTGGTAAATTTTATTAGATGCTAAATAAAATTAATATTCTTTTATATCTTTTAATTCAGAATCTAAAGAATAGTTAATAATTCTCTTGATTCTCTTTTTGAAAGTTTTGAATATAGTTTGTAATGTTTGCAAATTGAATTTTTCTAATTCTTCTAATTGGATTTCTAATGCTATTCTTATATATAAGGTGTAATGATTATTATTATCATTAACAGCCTGTACATAGCTATCAAAGATTGATAAGAGACCAGAAAATCTTGCAAGTTTATGAGTTTGTTCATAAAATAAATCTATTATTTTTATATATAAAATCAATTGTTTTAAAGGTTACAAAAAGAAAAATTTGTTTAGTATTAGACTGAACAGATACTAGTAAGAAGAATATTAAAAAAATTTATTTACTTTATTTTTTTTAATAACTATCTTACCAATAGAAACATTTTTTTCTAATAAACTAACAATATTAAACCTGTCAGCTTTATAATCAACTAACTTTATATAATTATCATTATCTGAGTCATAAAAATTCTTAATAATTTTTATAAATTGATTTTTATTACAAATTTTAATATTTTTTTCAATGTATATGCCCATTGTTTTGCTTTAGAAGTTGCAAAATTTTCTTTCTCTTTTAACTTTTGACTGTTATATACAATAATACTAAGAAAATCAGATGCAAATCTTGAAATAGATGATTTAAAAACTCATACAATTTGAACAGATATAGGTTTTTCAGTATTTTTGCATTAAATAAAAATAAGTTTTTTTTTATATGTTATAATAATATTGATACCATGATCTCCATGATTCACTTTAATTTCAAAAGCTTCTGTTATTTTTTGAATAATTAGTTTGAAATCATGAATGAATTAATAGTTTGTTATCTAAAATAAAAAAAAATATAAGTATGAGAATTCTATTCACTAGTGTTTGCAGTACTAGCATCTTAAAGATATAACTCCAATTCTGATATTAGTTTCTCACAAAATAATAGAATACAACCTTAGCATATATAAGTATATATTCAGAATATACTCCTATTTTGCTATGGTAGTGTAATTTGAATTCACAAATACAAAGTAAAATGGCACAGCCAACTTATTTTTCCTTCAGTAGTTATTTTAAACTTATGTAGTTAAAAATCTAACTGGTTAAAACTGGTTAAATTAATTTATTTAAAATAATAAAGATGATAAATTTATAAAAAAAATAAAAAATAAAAATAGAAAACAAAAATAAATAAACTAAAAAATCTAAAATAAAGATGAAGTAGAGGCAGTAGATTCATTATGTTTTGTTTTGGTTTCTTGAGCTTCAGGAACTTCAGTTTTAGGATTAAGCTTGCATTTCTTGGTACAATAGTTCTTAAATTTGTTAAGAATCACTTCAATTATATCAAATTTCTTGGTATACAAAGAATCTGTAACTTTCATAGATTTGAATTAGTTGATAGTATATAATTTCTATTCATTATTCCTATCAAGTTCTTTTTGCTCAAGTATTTCATCAGTTATAACAAAATAGATAGCAGTCTTATACAAGAACTCCTTGCCTTTATTAGAGAAGAAACAAAACCCTTTATCAAAAATAATAAACTCAAACTTGTCTAATTCTACTTTAGCTTCTTTTTGAACTTTTCTTTTCACACAATTGTCAAATGATTCTTCTTTATCAACTGAACCTCCTAGTACCTGGTAATATCCATAATAATCTTTAAATGAATTATTATGATAACTTATCCAAATCTTCTTTTCAGAATTGACCAATATACATAGAGAAAAATAAAGATGCTGATTCTCATATTTATTAATAGTTTTTTTATAAATTTGCTTCAAATTATTGTTTACTGTGATTTTAGTTTGAATCTTACTAATCATTTAATTTTTGTCACCTAAAGTGATTCTAAACAAATACATTGCTTCAATACTATTGATTCAAGACAAATATAAGAAATTGTTTTCTTTCAAAGATAGATAAGATTCTTTTGCGAATTAGTATTCTACTGCTATTTTTTGTTTTATTTTTAATAAATAAATTGAGTTTATGAAGAAAAAAATTTAATCAGTTTAATAAACTAATTAAAAAAAATTATATAAATGATTCAATAATTCTGAAGAATTATCTATCATCAATTCATTGTTACTAAAATAAAGTTGATTATTCAGTATGATGCCATTCTGACTCTAAATGTAACTATATCTGTCATGTTCAACAAAATCCTTAGCTTCTAGTTTATAATATGTTTAAGAACTATGAAAACTTTTTGTAAAAGAATTTGTTAAAATCTTAGAATCAAAATTCTTTGGTTCTATTAACTCATTCTTGCATCTGTTACATTTTTCTTTGAACAAAAATTATTATATTTCTTACAATAATAAGGAATAATAGGTTTAATTATCTTGTTAACACAGCTGTTACATTGTTTTTATAAATGAAAATAATTATATTTTTTACAAAAGTGCTTTGTTATTCTTGATTTTTGCTTTTTATTTTTAGTCTTATTGTAATTAGGTCATGGTTTATCAAGTATTCATCAACTATGTCTAACTTGAATTTCTATATTATCATACAAAATAGATTTAGTGTGATAGTTGTATGTTTTTATCAGAACCATTACCTATTTAAAATTCTATTTGGTAAAAACTGAATAGAACAAATTTATTTGATAATAATGATAAATAATAAATACTAAATAAAAAATATATAAATAATAATAATTTTAATTTTTCTTAAAAACATATTTTCATTTCTTGCCAGTAGAAAAACTTTAGCTTCTTCTTTATCTTTAAATTTAGTTTCAGAATTCACAGCAATAATTACCTTAAAGATTTTAGTTTATTTTTTTCTACTATTTGCTTAAACTCTTTTTTTAAGTTAAATAAATTGCTTAAAATATGCATTAGTAACAAAAATATGGGCCTGTTCTGCATCATATCTAGAGCCTTTCAAAACCTTTTCTCAACAATTACTCACTCTCTCATAATTAGAATCACTTCTATTATATACAAAAACACAATTAGCTTTAATTCTAAAAAACTCTTTAACCATAAAAGAACAAAATTTTTTAAATCTTATTAAAAAAATAATTATTCTAATGGACCATTAGAATAAATTTTGTCAAGGCAAGTTTTATAAACATATTTTGTGATATCAGTATTTTTATCAAATATTAACCTAACATTATATACTGCTTTAGTAAATAGTGTGATTTAATTGATAATTGAGACATAGTGATATGTAATCAATATTAAAGTTACACAAATAAAAATCTAGTTGGCTATTTATTATTATTTTTTTTTTTTGAGTTAAAGTCCCTGTCTGTAGGAGTTAATGTTTTTATTCATGTATTTGGACTCGGGTGCCTCCAGGGGCTCTCTTACATTGGAGGTTACAACTAGCCACATGTGCACTTTTGGTGCCTAATTTAAGTAGTCCACCTATATATTACTATACAGATTCTACCTAGGTGCTATACCTGCAAGCCAACTACGGGTCTTGCCTATTTAAACCCTCTGCATATGTAGTCCACCA